GATGAATCTGGGCTCCTTGCTGGCGTAATGTAACTTTCCCTAGCCACTCTGCACCTTAGACACCACATTACAGCACACTCCTTCCAGCCCCGCTCCAGGCTGGGCCTCGCTGTAGCCTCTGGTGTCCACTAGGGGGCAGCTCCAGGCAGCAACCTCGCCCAATCCTGTCAGGTTATTTCCTTCCCCACAACTACCCCACCCTCTTCCATTTCCATTAGCCCACTGTAAAAACCCCATCCTGATCAGTCCGTTTACAGTGACTGTGCGCAGAATTGTCTGGAGAAATTTGAGACACATGGATGGAGCTAACACACTCCACACAGACTGAGTAGGATGGCTGAGCCTGAGCCACACAGTTTCTTTTTGTTTGTTTGTTTGTTTGTTTGTTTCCTAAAAAGCCACCCTGGAGATGCCAATAAGCATCCTGGGCTGAGATTTTGCAGACCCTCTTCCACTCAGACACCTCCTTTAACTTCTGGAGATAACTTCCTAACACTTTACAAGGCAAAGTCTGAGCGGTAGTAGTCAGAGAGTCCAGACCTCACCTTCCCCTACACACAGCGCTCCTCAGAGGGGCAAGTTGGCTGGGTTCACTTTGCATGACCATTGCCCTGCAATGTTTGCACTTTTATAATAAGTATGACTACTCTCAGAAAAACCCAACAAGAGGACATGTATACACTATGACATAATCTTATAATTCTAATAACAAGTGAGACCCACAGAGGAAATAAAATTGGTCTAGAAACCCATTTCTCAAGTCCCAGGGCTGACGTCTGGCAGGGGCCTCTAGAACCTCATGTCCTGACATTTGGGGTTTTTTTTTTCTTAGTTTTGTGAGACAGGGTCTCCCTATATAGTCCAGGCCAGCTTTGAACTTTTGACCCTCTTGCCTCAGACTCCCAAGTGCTGGGATTACAGGCATGTGCTACAGTGCCCAGGTGGAATGCCATACCCTGATATTTGATTCATAAAGAAAACCATGCCTGAGTCCATCATGGGGACTTGCGATCTTTTCTTTCCCCACCAGTGACCCATCCCACACCATCTCCCTGTCAGCTGCAGTTGAGCCATTTGCTCTGGTTATCACGGTCTACACAGAGAGGTAATGGATTACCTCGCCGGATCTGCTGGCATCAAGTATGGGGTTGCAGCCTTGTCTACTATGATTTCACCTCTCAGTCCCTCAGCGTCCTCCTTCAGAAAATGGGTCTGAGCTGGGCGTGGTGGCGCACACCTGTAATCCCAGAACTCAGGAGGCTGAGGCAGGAGGATCGCTGTGATTTGGACCAGTGTGGGCTACACAGTGAGTTCCAGAGCAGAGCAGTCTGAACTACATAGTGAGACACTGTCTCAAAAAAAGAAAAGAAAAAGAAAAGAAAATGGGTCTGAGAGCGACACCTGACTCACCTGATGCTGACAGGATGAACCAACACACAGTGCTTAGTCTCTGGGGCAGTGGTAATAACTGCCAGTGATCACAATGCTGTCACGAAGTTAGCAGTCCAGAAAAATATTATGATTATTTTACAAAGTTCAGGCTCAGCGTTTGGCTTTCTGGCAGTGAAACAAAGATGGAGAGCAGCGGTGTCCACTTTCATGTGTACCGTGTGCTTTCTCATTAGATGTTAGACCGCAGGGCTCTGAAATGTGTGGGGTTGACTTGGCTTGGCCCAGCAGGGTGTCCACCAAGGGCAGCCTGAGCTGGTGAGGGGAGGTGAGCTTTATGAAGCCCCCCCCGGGAGGGGTCCCCCTCTTTCTTTCACCAGTGAGAAAGCTGAGGCCCAGAGGTGGGAAGTGGCCTGGGCCTGTGCTGTCAGAGCCAGGAGGACATGATAAGGAAAGGGCAGTACGCTGGACAGAGTATGCCAGAGCCCAAAAGGGCTTTCATCTGACTTCTGTCCGCAGGCCTCAGGTCCCCACCCTGTACACGGAACCAAGGTCTGAGCTCAGGAGGCCTCTGAGGACTCTGCGGAACCCACACAAACTATCTCCGCTAGGAAACGGAAGACACTGGTCACCACTGGAGGGCTGCTGGCCGTAAGGGGACAGGGAGGCTAATTTTTTACCCTTTTAAACTCATGTACATGAATTTGCACATTCAAAAAAGCTTTGTTGTAAGTGTGGTTTGGGGTTTTTTAAAGAATAGCATCTGGTACTCAATTGTTTTGCTCCCCCCCACCCCCACACACCTTGAAGTAATAATAATTGAACTCAGGGCTTTCAAACTGAGTTATATCCCCAACCCTTTTTATTTTGATTTTGAGACAGAGTCTTGCTAAATTGCCCAGGCTGGTCTCAAATTTGTAATCTTCCTGCCTCAGCCTCCTTAGTAGCTGGGGTTACAGGCATACACAACTGTAGATTTGATCATTTTTATAAAGTTATGATAGCGTACATGAAGCCTGGGTTCAATCCCCACCCTGTTCCCACAGAGAAGTTATGATACAGGACCTTCCTTCCGACTTTACCTCAGTGTCAAATCAAAGCAAGGCTTCAACCCCAAGAGGCAGGTGGTGGAAGGGTGGGCTTTAGATTCAGACATGGGTTCAAGACTTGTAACCTCTTCTTCCAACTGTGTGGCCTTGGGCAAGTTGCTGTGCCTCCGTTTCCTCAGTTCTACAAGGAGGCTGTGGGCTTGAGGTGTCAGTCAAAGGAGCAGTGCTTGCCTAGCACATGCAAGGCCCTGGGTTCTATCTCCAGCACTGCATAGATAGATGGATAGATAGATAGACAGACAGACAGACAGAATAGGGCGAGTGGTCCCAAGCCCACTAGCTGGTTAAGGAGATCAGAGCTGAATCCAAGTGAGCAGGGGCAGGCACCACTGTACACATAGGGCTCACTGCCTCTGCACAAGAGGCAGGGGCCCCTGTCACCCCGGGGTATAGGTGAGGATAAGGAGCACTGGGAGGGGAAGTCCGGCCATGAACCCAGGCAATCTGGCTGTAGAATTAGTGCCCACAACTCCTGCACCCCCTGTGCGTGTGGCGTATTTAGGACAATACCTGTCACGTGACAACGCCCTGGACGTCATAGCTGGGATTGTTACCGATACAAACAAGGATCTCCCCAGACTGTTACACACTTTGGAACAGGACCATTGATCCTCACAAACCTTCTGGGGACAGCATACAGTGCCCAAGAGTCTGAAAGACTCTTGCCTCAATTCTCTCACGCCCGCAAATCCCACAGTCTACCTGCGCAGACCCAGGCCAATGAACAATCACTCCTTATTCCACAGCCCAGCTCCTCCGCGCTGGTTCCGGTGGCTTCCAATTCCTCCCTTTAGACAGCCCCAGGCAACTTAAGGAAGTGCTGGAGCTTTTGTAGCAGTGCAGTTACAGCTGAGGGAAAGTCTTTCCCAAATCCCCACCTCACCCATCACCACCACAGCCAAACAGACTTCAGACGGCCCCGCACCACAGACCAGTTGTTCCTTCTCACAGGCAGTGCTCCAGTGTGAGGGCTGCCCACGGGGCGCCTCATCAGCTTCCACCCCACCACAGCCATTGGTGACGGCCAGCGTGGTGCTAACGAAGGCCAGGCAGGGATTGCTGCCACTCACTGACCGGGTGGATGGGGCCTCGGCTTATGAGCACACACCCACGACACTCACGTTCACACAATGCAGGACACCCAACTCCCCCAACTAGAACCCATTTGGGTGAGGGGGGAGAATTCCAGGCCACCCTGGATAATGCACCAAACATAATCTGCTTATGAATAATTGAGCTTATTGTTAGTGTCGATGTCTAAAGGCTTGGGCTGAAATTCCAAATGGATTTCTTAGGAGAGGGAGGCCCTTGGGAAAAGCAGCTCCTGGATTCATTTCCCATTCTGCAGTATTCACTGAAAGGGATGGAGCAACCAGCATACCTTCCCGGGTTCCTTCTCCAGGCACCCCAGCCCCGCCCAGCCCACCTCACACCTGGAGACAGAGGACCTCAACCTGGGGGGAGGGAGTGAGCAAAGCGGTTTCAAGAAGTCAGCACTCAGTTGGTCACGGTGGTGCAAATTTGTAAATTCCTGCACTCTGGGAGGCTGAGGCAGGAAGACACCAAGTTTGAGCCCAGCCTAGGCAATTTAGTGATTTGGTGAGACCCTGTTTCAAAATAAAAAACAAAAAAGGGCGAGAGTTCAATCCCTAATATACGAAAAAGAAGATGTGGGAGGAAGAGGAGAGAAGGGAAGAAGTAGTCAGCACTCTCCAGCCGCAGCAGTGAACCAACCTCTGGACCACCTCAAGGGAACAGCTGTATTTAAGGCCACAATCCAGCTGAAGTCACTCCAGATCTGGAGATCCTCCCACGCCACACACTGACGCTGCCAGGGAGGCCCTACCCAGAAGCCACCAGACTTCAGACTGTCCCAGAGAAGTGACTCAGCAGGCCCTACTGCTGCGGTGCCTACCACAGCAGACACCGTGGCAGTCCGGACAGTGGCTGGTGTGCCACATACCTGCTTAGGAGAGAAGGGGCTCAGCGAGCCACCTCTGGGCACATGTCCCAGGCCACTCCCAGCCAGGGCACGGGGCAGGGCTGCAGCTGGATGGGTGATGAAAAGCAGGAAGAAGGGGGCAAGATCTTCCTGGTGGGGAGGGGAGTAGGGGAAGGGAAACAGACCGGGCTAGAAGTCACCTTCCTCTTTGCACAGTCACCAAAGCACTTCTTGCAGTGGAACAGTCATCTGCCATGACAGATACCCTGCCCAGGACCCACCTGAACTCCCCGTCAACAGCAAGTACCCTCCGTGTGACTCGCTCCTCAGACAGACTATTCTGCCCCAGCAGGCAGGACACATCTGTTAAGCCACTGTCCACCTTCTGTGCCCACCTCATGTGGTCGGTGTGGAGCAAATGACTGTTACCTTAAATGCATGGTTCTTCCTGAGTCCATGATCATGGGCAAGCATGTGCTTGCGGCAGGGGGTGGAAGGCAGGGTCATGGGTACCTGGGGCCCTGAAGAGGTAGGTGTCCCTGAGGGGTTCGGGCTCTTACCTGTATTCTGTCTTCTGGCAGCTCCGTTTTCATGGCTAGCATTTCCCGGGCATAGACATCTGGGTAGTGGGCCTCATTGAAAGCCTTCTCCAGCTCCTCTAGCTGGTAGGAAGTAAAGATTGTCCTGAGGGAGCGAGATTGGAAACTCAGAACCCGAACACTGAAAAAGCCCATCTCAGAGAGTCTCAGAGAGGACTGAATGGCCCTCTCCCATGCCTCTGGATGGATACCACACTTGGGCTGGCCCAGCACAACGAACACAATCTCTCCCCCCTCTTCCCTCCCTCTCTCTCTCACTTTGCAGGGACATAATTTCAGCCCTCGGTGACATATCACACTGAGAACAATTCTGGGGGAGAGGGTGCTAAGCAGGAAATTTCAGAAGACTGGAGAAAGCCCCTCTTCTCCTCCCAAGCATGGACAGGAGGCCTTAGATAAATACCCCAACCCCACCCGCCAGCCTCCGGGCTCCTGGAAACGACTAGTCAATTTCAAACCCCACTCAAACTTTGAAGATTTACCATAAAGCCAAAAGCAGCCTCAACTCACTGTTTGTACAGCAGAGAACAGACTCCCACCCCCTCCATCGATCCCGCACTCCCTCCTCACCAGCCCTCTGCCACCACCCAGACCACCACCTTCCTCTGGTCTCCTCCTTGTTCAAAAGGTGAAAGCCTCCCAGACTATCCCACAGGTGATTCAGCTAGGCACTGGGCGGGGTCCCCATTCAAGCCACCCTGCCCCCCACAGAGCACTTCATATTGACCTATTTTGTATCGTAAACCGCTTGAAAGATCAGCAAAAGCTACATTCACAGGATCGGAAGCAGCTCAGTGGTAGAGCGCTTGCCTGGCATCCTGAAGGCTCTGGTCTCAATTCCCAGAAGAAAAAAAAATAAACAAAACATTTTATTTTCTCACCCTCAGAAACTGTGCAAATAAGTATGTTCCAATAATAAAATTTCACCGTCAATATCAGGGAGTTCTTCAACTCCCTTTCTCCAATAAATTGCTAAACAGACCCAGGGATTTAGCTCAGTGGTTTGCAAGCACAAGGTCCCTAGTTCCACCCCCAGTACCAAAAAAAACATTTTTAAATAAACTGCCAAACATCCACTTACAGACATGAACTCTTCCCTTTTCAGACCGTAATTTCACCAGACTTTAGGCGACCTTTACGCTGTGCCCCCATCAACAAACCAACCAGCGGTATGACAAGTGGCACATCCCTTGCTTGGTCTCCTGGGACCTTGACTGTGGAGGCAGCGTAGTGTGCTCTCTGCTGCTGTGCCCTAACCCTCCCCCAACATAAGGAAGAAACACAGTGTCAGCCCCACATGCCACATGTCCCCGGCGCTGGTATCCACTTCCTATCACGGGGATGGGCGGACCAGAGAGATCACGCTCTTCACAAAAAACAGCTGATTGGAGTCAAAATCGGCTTTCCTGTTCTCTCAAGGGGGATCTGTGGAATTCTGATGTACACAGTCAATGCTTCCGAATTTTGAAAATCTGCTGCTTTCTAAGCATTCTCCTGCCACTTGCCAAAGGGCTCTTGAACAGATCATCAAAATGAACAATCAAAATACGCAAATCCTTTTCAAAACCAGGGAAACTGAGGCACACAGGTAGTGTGGCCTGGCCAAGGTCAGTCTCCATTCACTATAAAACAAAAACAAATCTCGAATCCCCCCCAAACTTCCCATATACCCAAACCAGAGCTGGGCCACATGTTGATGAGGTGTTTTCCTCCACCCCATGTGACCCACACTCTGCTCCAGGCTTGGGCGGAACCCTTGTATTAGCCCTCAGAGGGGCCGAGCACTCGGTAAAGAACCAACTCTCCGGAACATCACTATGGCTGCTCCATCCCCACCCTGCTCAACCCTGCAGTCCTGGTTAGATCCACCTCGCCAGATTCCAGGGTCTCTTACTCAAAACTCCATGGGAGAGAAGCTCAGGAAGATGTATTTTTTACTAGTTAAATGCTACACCAATGGACCGGGATGTAGCTCAGTGTTAGATCACTTCATGAGACCCTGGGTTTGATGCTCACTCAGCACCACAAAAATAAAATAAAATTTAAATTAAAAAAACCAGCTATCTGTAGCCATTCTCCTTTCTGATAATCCACCCCATTTGTGCACCAGGGATAGACAGAAACTGGAGGTGGTTCATTCTCTGCTGGGGATGAGTTGCTATTCTGTGCCCCACCCACCCAATTAATCCACCAAAGCCCCTAAAGTTTTCTTTGGCAGATGAGCACCTCAGGCATGAGGTCACCAGCTCCAAGTGCCATACAGTGAGATGTCCTGATGCTATTCCACATCTGGGATTTGGGGATGCTTTTTCCAGGGCACTCCATGCTAGGAGAACCCTCCCACCTATTCTACCCTGTTTCAGTCGCAGGACCCTCCCTACACTTCCTGTTTCTGCTTGGGGAGGGTGACACTTTATCTGCCCAGGGACCAGCAGAAGAGTGTGAATAAGAAGTGTTTTTGCCTGCGTTGTGGTGCATGCCTGTAATCCCAGCACTTGGGAGGTTGAGGCAGGAGGATCGCTGCGAGTTCAAGACCAGCCTGGGCTACACAGTGAGTTCCAGGTCAGTCTCAACTACATAGTGAGACCCTGTCTCAAAAAAACCAAACCAACAACAAAAAAAGTGCTTTTGTGAATATCTGTTGAATGAGTGAACATAAAAAAGGAACAGGACTAATAAGATGTTTCCATTTAAAATATAAAACAAAACAAACGGAACTGAAGTAAATGAAGGGAAGGAACCAAAGTCCCCCAGAAACCAAGCCCAAGTTCACCTTCCTTCAAGCCAGAACCTGTAGGGGACAGGGAGTTCTGTTCCTGTAGGGGACAGGGAAGGACTGTTCTTTTAAAAAGAAAACGGTGGAGTTTCTGAAGGGTAAGGAGGAGAGACGCAGAAAAGCACCAAGAGAGGGGGTGCAAAGGCACTGAGTGAAAACTGGGGAGAGAGGAGAATGTGGCCGCGGGGAGCCAAGAGCACCCCACTGGGGAACTGTCGGAGACTCTGTGGCGCCCCCACCCGGGTTGGGGCAGACAGAGGTGGGAAAAAAGCCCCTCGGGCAGCCCTAGCAGAAAAGCAGGCAGTGTTTTGCTTCTTGTTCCTTTCTTTCCTTAAAAACCTCCTCATGAATTTACACAGGAAACGAGTAGCAGGGGTGCTGATGAAGAAGGAAATGAGGGAGGATCTAGGGGCACCGGGCTAGGGAAGGGTGAATTACTCTTCGGGACATACCTCTGGACACCTATGGAATTTAACGTTCCGCAAGCAATGTCTATTTAAAGACAGGTTAGCAACTCTCGCGCTTTAGACTGCACTCCAGAGCAACCCACCGCACTCGAGCTATGGCTGGCAGGAACACCCAGCTCACCTCCCACGCTCCCTATGACAGATCAGGAAACTGAGGCTCACGAAAGGGAAGCGATCCTCTCAGAAGCACAAAGAGAAAGAGCAAAGGCCAAGAGAAAATATTCCAACAGTGCCGACATCACTAAATCTTTGGGGAAAAGTAGGAGCACAAACTTGGGTGTTGGCAGCAAGGACGGGGGGCCGTGGGGGCGAATTGGGACTGGGGGAGGCAGAGGGCTAGGGACCGGCTCCGGCTGGAGGTAGAAGCCGATCTGCCCTCGGCCAGGTCCGCATGGCTCTCGGAAAGTACAGACACAGGGACCAGGGGCCGCCAACCCCTTTCACGCTATGATTTGGCCCGGGTTGGGGGCCTCACCTTTCCCGGGCCGAACGACGCCGCTGCTCTCGAGGCCACTCTACCCTCCACAAGCCGCTGGACGCCGGGTCTGCGGCCGGGTGCAGACCAGGACCGCACGCCTGCGGTCTGCGAACACAGGGTCCGCGTGACCGAGCCGGAGCTGGGACCGCAGGAGGGTTGCAGCTGGATGGGCTGCAGCTGTAAGGAAAAGCGCCGCGGGGGCCTTACCTGTGTCGCCGCTTCTTCCGTTTCTTGGTTTGGTTTAGAGCCGATTTGGACATTTTTCGGTCACTGGAGGAAACATCTTCAGAATCTGAAAAGCGGGCGGAGGGACAGCGGCAGAATGGGGATCGCGCTCCACTGCGCCTCCCCGAGCGGCACTGCCTTTCGGTCTCCCCGCAAGCGCCCCCGGAACCCTGGCGGCCGACCCCATCCCGCAGCCCGTCCTGGCCCCAACCGCGGTGGCCCCTGAAATTTTAAATAATTTCTCTGGGAGAGAAGCAAAGGCCCCGGCGCACGTGGGGGCGGGCTCAGGGAGTCGCGGGGACCCCCGGGGTGCTCCAGGCTCGGCGCCTGCCCTGAGCCTGCAGTCCCGGCGTCCCTGGCCCGGAGGTTGGTCCCAAGGGGAGAAGAAGCCCTGTCGGGGGGAACTGGGCTTCGGAAAGGGCGAGGAGCTGCCGGGCCACGGTCCTTTTCGCGGTGCCCATACAATGCGCTCCCGCTGGAGGCCCCGGAGCCTGCGACGCTCCAATTTTCGTTGCCCTTCCAAATGAAAACAATAATAATGAAAAGAAACGAAAAATTGGGGTGTTGCCGAGAGCGGACAAGAATCGATGAGCCGAGAGGTCCAGGACACATCTCCAAGAAAGTGTCCGGGGAGTCCGTGGCCAGGTCATCAGGGGCCGGAAGCCTGCGAAGCGCCGGGATCCGATTCACTGTGGCGCTCGTAGGATTGGGTGGCGGCCACTGCAGCTGCCTGGTGGTCTGGCTTTTCGAGTTCGTAGGGGTAAAAAATAAACCCCAGATGAGCAATGCGGAGAGTTGGAATAAAGAAAGGAGAAGGAAGGAAAACGACAACTTTGGACACCAGGCTTGGGGCCAGAGGCGGCGCCCGCTTCCAGGACCGCCCGCGCGTGGGCCGCATCGGGCTCCGGG